CCTGTTTTTATGGCATTTGATAACCCATATAGGTAATCTATTATTTGTTTAGGATATGAATAAGTAATTAATATTTTTCTTATTTAGTTTAACTTTTATCGGCGACCTGGCTTGCACCGAAAAACGCCAAAATCAATTTGCAAAAGCTTGGCCGCTTTTTGCTCAAAGTCAGAAAACAAATTTTCCGTCTTTTGATCCACCATATTTGGAATTCGCTCGGATTCGTGTTGAAGATTCTTCAGGTTTAGGTTTTGCTTATAAGCCCATGCAATTCGAAGGAAGCAAATGGCAAGTATTTAAAGTCAATGTTTGCAATTTTTGAAATAGAAAAGATAGATTCGCTAACTTAACTTTTGTTCCAGGAAATGGTTAGCCCAAAGTTTAGATGAATATGGCTATGGAATCGTCATAAGAGAGAAACCTTTTGCCGAAGGTCTCTTACGTGAAGTAACTCATGCAAAATATTTCAGCAGGAACGTTTTGCCCGGTAGTTATCAATCTTATAATCTTTGGATTCCTTTAACCGACGAACCAGATAATTTCGTTACGCTTGGTTCATTTCTCTATAACTCTAACTATGGCTATAAATATGCTCTTGACCAAAACAAAGGATTGGTGGGAGTTCATAGAAGTGTTTGTATTTCTGGCGTTCGAGGTAGTTATGTGAAAGGGAATGTGTGGCGAATCGCACTACAAGATGATACTATCGATATTAATGCATTTGTAGCTGACGATAATACCAAACCGGAATTGCCTGTTTGGCTGTTGAGAAGTGATATGGCAGAATTAGTTAAATACGTAAATTAAATTTTAGTATAAAACGGAAGATGCGCGGATCTGAGAACATTAAAATGCGCATTCCTTATACATGTACTTTGTGTTCATAATGCTTCTTTATAAAAAATCTAGGACATGACGTTTATTTTTTCCAGTAGATTTCTCACCAATTTTTCCTACAGAAAGTTTTCTTGTGACTTTAAAATTCGTCAATTATAATTTTCTGAATGTCTATTTTTCGAAGGCTCCTAATAAAGAAAAATAAACTTAGCAATGAGAAATGCCACGAAAATTCCGGAACAATGTTAATCTTGTTAACAAAAACTTATCATTGTTCATATTGTCCCGTAAACATCGCAAAATTCTTAAAAAAACTTGCAATATTATCATTAACACTGCCTTCCCCGATATATGTAATAAGAATTCTTGCGGTCCCAAAGATTTGATTATCACTAGAAATTTCACACAAAATTCGTGACGTAAGTTATCCGCTTGATCCATAGAATTATTATATTTTCTTACAAATTCACATTTTTATATCGTACATAATAATAATTTTTGTTAGTTTCTTTTATCTTAAAGCAAAAACATACTACTTTTTGTAAAAATTCTTACAAAAATTCACACTTTGTGCTTTAGACGCGCGAAATCTACGATCTGTAATCTGGATAGTTATATAATAATCAAATTGTATATAAGGATAGCTTTCGAAACTGTGTGAGACAGGCAATGTGTGGTTTGAAGAAAAATCAATAAAAAAATTATTTTAACTCTTATCTAACAATGGTTTCGGCTTTAATTTCTTTTGTGTCACAACGAAATTGATAACTTTATTTCTTTTATGCTTAACAAAATCGAAGGTTTTACCTCTTTTGCCATATAAAGTTGATACATATTCTTTGATTCTTTTTATTAGTTTGATTATTTTGTTGAGACTTATATTATTGTTTGGAACAAATTTATTTTTGTTACTTGGAATTGGATAATATTTAAATCGTAGGTGGATCAATTTAATTAAGTTGATGCCATTATGTCTAATAGAAAGTTAACAACTTTTTACATGTATTATGATTAATAATTTGTTAGCAAAATTGAATAAAATTGTTAAACTAAATCTTAGATCGATTTTAATTTTTCAATGAAAAGTTACTTTAGGTCAAAAGGTTAAATTACATCTTTCAACTTCTAGAATGCTTTCTTAGAAATTAAAAAAGAGAAAAATCTATTACTTTATGTAAATCAAATTGCTTGTTTTTATAAAGTTTGAAGAAATTATTCCAAAAAAATTTTACTTCTAAGCCAATCTTTTGTCCTAACTCCAAGTCATTAAATTTTACATGTATCTAGATGGCGTGAACATCGTATCTGTCTTTCCTTTACACATTACATTTACTAAATAAATTATTTGACGGTAACAAAAGTCGGGGGGGGGGGCTAGACTCAATGGTTACAAGAAGTGGGGTATCACAAGGTTTTAAAGGTCTTCTATATCGATCTTACATGGAGATTGTGCATTCGAAAATAAGGAATTCAGGGCAAAAGTAAAGTATAAAATTATATTTAAATCCAATTTAACAAAAATAATAAATAATTACTAAAATAATATTACTCTAATTCATATAACAATAACTTCAAAGATTTACTAAAAATATTATTAAATTCCAAAATAATAAAAATAGTTTTGTTCCAAAACAATAATATGAATCTCAACCTTAAGATAAAGCTATCAATTTCGTTATGACACAAACGAAATTAAGCAGAGGCACTATTAGATAAGAGTCAAATGACTTTTTTATTTATTTTTTTTAAACCATACATTACTATCAGATTTTCGAAAGCAATCCTTATACAGTTCTGGCGGAAAGTAATGGCGGTTAAATTTATTTAACATAGAATTGTTTTTCATAATAATTTTGTCTAAGATTTTATTTACATAATGTATATATAACATCTATTTTTGTTCATTTTTTATTAATAATAATTCAATAATTTTGTTTTTTAAAAATTGATAAGTAGATTTTCGTTTATACATTATTTTTATATCTTAAGATTTATACAATAATTTTAAATAGTATTTTGAAACAACTATAATTATATCAGTAATTACTCAAGAAAGATTTTCTTGATATATTTTTTGAAATATTAAGTATTGTTTATAAATATCCCAATTTAATATAATTGATCTTTAATTTTTCAAAAATTATCTTAGAAAACAGGTATTTAATATTGTTCAACTGATCAATTTACATTTATAACATAGATTTCAGTGGAATAAATATTTTCTGTGATCTTTAATATTAATTTAATGGCCACCCCGCCATTACTTTCTGCCAGAACTGTTTACAATTCGGTTATTATTATTATTATTATTATTATATTGTTATGTGATTGGATTAATGTTAGTTAATTGCGGATAGAAGAGGTTTGGGAGAGTTTAATGATGGGTGATTCTGGCTTCTATGTCAATATGTACAGATATCGTTATATAAAATGATTGTGGAGGGTGAGAGAGAGAATGGTTTTAAGTAGCAACTCTGCGGGTTCTTTCTGTTATTTTCGATTCTAACTATAATGTTTGCTTTTTCTAGATAAAAGCCTTAAACTTTCCGACTCAATAATTAACGGTGACTTTACGAAATAATTTGAACACAATGCCTTTTCTGGTGTAAAGGTCCTAACTAACTAACAATATAACGATTATGAGTAAGCGGGATAAAGAATTGTGCGCGATTCTTGCAGAATTTTGGTAGGCAATATTTTAATAATAATAGCAAAAAATGCTAAAAATAATTTATTATTATTTGATTAATTAAAGACTAATTATATTATTTTAAAATTTTAAGAGTCTCGTTTTATACATTTGTTTATATTGTCGCTATTATTAAGATTACATTATTATCGTTTTCACATGCAGGCGGTTGTTTGTTCGCGATAGAACTTTAATGTTATTAATAATAAAAAAAATTGAAACAAAGAAAGAGATTTTGCAATAGAGCTTTCACAAGATATAAAATAGAACTTCGGGATTGATGCGTGAAAACGAAATTTTGAAATATCGCTTTTAATAATTTTTCAAAGTCCAAAATTGGACTACATGCACATATATCTAGATTATAAATCGTTATTCATTAGATTTCGTGTGTCTAAGTACAAATTGTGAATTTTTACAAAAAGGAATATGACTATGCGTTAAGATGAAAGAAACTAATAAATTTTGAATTTTTGTATAAAATTTCAAAGTCTTTGGGATCGCAAGTAAGAATTCTTGTAAGTACATGTATTGGGAAGGCAATGTTAATGCCGATATTACAAAGAATTTTTGTAATAATTTTGCGAAGTGGCATCGGTGTTAACAATACGAATAACAATCGATAAGTTTTTGTTAACGTTAACAAGATTAAAGATTTTCTCACATTATTCCGGAATTTTCATGCGATTTCTCATTGCTAAGTTATATTGCTCTTCTATGTAAGCTATACTCAATAATGATTGGTGTGTAAAATCAAAATAGGTGTCTTTAATATCCAGAAAATTACAATTGACGAATTTTAAAGTCATAGAAAATAGAAAATAAGTGCCATATCCTAGATTTTTTATAAAAAGAATACATGAACGCACAAAGTATAAGAAGTGCGCATTTAATGTCCTTAGATCCGCGAATATTCCGTTCTATTATAAGAATTTAATTTAAGTATTCAACTAATTCTGCCACATCTTTTCTCAACAGCCAAATAGGCAATTGCGGTTTGCTACTATCGTGAACGACAAATGCACCAATATCGATAGCATCATCTTGGGGTGCGATTCGCCAAACATCCGCGCTCACGTAACTACCTCGAACTCCAGAAATACAAACACTTCTATGCACACCTACCAGTCCATTGTTCTGGGCAAGAGCATATTCATAATTTCTTAAGTTATGGAGAAATGAACCGAGTGCAACGAAATTATCTGGTTCGTCGGTTAAAGGAATCCAACTATAATATGATTGAGAGTTATTATCAATATTATACAACGTTTGCTCGCGTAAAGATTTTGCATCAGTTACTTCACGTAAGAGACCTTCGGCGAAAAGCTTCTCTCTTACGATGATGCCATAGCCATATCTATCTAAACTTTGGGCTAACCATTTCCTGGAACAAAGCTTAAGTTAGCAAATCTATCTTTTCTGGTTTCTGACATTTAAAAATTTCAACATTGACTTAAATATTTGCCATTTGCTTCCTTCAAATTGCATGGGCTTACAAACAAAACTTTGGTTATAATCTGAAGAATCTTCAACACGAATCCGAGCGTATTCCAAATATGGTGGATCAAAAGATGGAAAACTTGTTTTCTGGCTTTGAGCAAAAAGTGACCAAGCATTTGCAAATTGATTTTGGCGTTTTTCGGTGCAAGCCAAGTCGCCGATAAAAGTTAAACTAGATAAGAAAAGAAAATATTAATTACTTATTCATATCCTAAACAAATAATAGATTACCTATATGGGTTATCAAATGCCATAAAAACAGGTTCATCAATAACAGTGGCGGCCCATGCATTCAGATTCATATGTTGGTAATCGTATCCAAGGACTTCTACATTGCCACCACGCGCTTGCATTCTAAATTCACTACTCGCCACAAAACCTTTGATTTCTTCTTGTTGGTCATCCGAGCCGGAACCAGAAGCAAATGACATAAATGCCCATTTTATCATTCTGCTTAAATGATTCTTTGAATTGAATTTCAATTTGTTGGTTGATCCTGTGAGGACACCCATCTGCAAACTGTGTATAAAATGAGTCCCGTATTTTTTGAATATGACTTTCGGTTCAATTTGTGAGTTATCTATCTCGTCTCTGATCTCTGGTTTCAAGAGTCTCCTCAATACAGCGATGTTCGAGGTTAAATGGAGGTGGTATGACTTATATTCATATTGTACTCGGCTGAAGCTGTGAAACTTGCTATAGTTCACAACATCGCCATACTCAAATTTTACAGAACCACTAAATCCAAAGAATTCTCCTAAAATAAATATAATTTTTTAAAATGAATGACAAAGAATTATTGACGATGGAATTTGAGATGAGGGGTCATTATTAGATAATCTCAATGAACTACTAGCCTCCTGCTGCAACAGTGCAAGAGAGTGACTTCTGATATTCTTCCAAAGTTTCGCCAGCCACTATGTTATAATTGACCGTACGTTCGAGATAAACACTAATACACCAGAAAATGTAGAGATTAAAAAGTTTGATTATAAATTCTCGGCAAAACTTACGTCAATTATTCCTTTCGGATAGCAATATGTTTTGCCATGTAGTTTGATTTCTTGCACAGGTTCTTTGCTCCAATCAAAAAGGTTTTCCGTACAAGATTCGCTTGAAGCATACTTTCCATTAACAAAATCATAGCCTGAACCTATTTCTGTAATTCCTAGAATCCAATTATTCGGCGTTTTTTCACGACGACCAGGTATACACATTTTGCGAAGAAAAACTATTCGAAAAATAACGATCCTAATGCTTAAAAGTTATTTATTGATAATTTTGTTCGGGAAATGCTGGTTTAAACCAGATTTCAAACAAAGAAACTTTATTTTCGAACTTGCCATTTTTGCGGGAATGCATAACAATAATCGATATGGTTCCACATTGCGTAATAAATATCTTAGATACTTTTTTTTTACATGTATTTCTTTGTAATCCTATTTCTTGTTTAATACAGTGAATCACAAAGAAGCACAACACGGAAAAAAACGGCAAGATACAATATCTCGCCATAGGGAAAATTAAAAGGTGAGTATAGTACAGTGCATAGCACTTGAAGACTGAAATAAAATTAATGATTTTTAAAAGCTAATAACACATTATACAGAAGTGATACAAGAAAAAGGAGGCCGCCAATTTGTATTTACCACAAACTATCGGCCCATTTTTTTTAAAAAAATTATTTTAAGAGAGTTAAACACACATTTTTATTATAATCGATTAACGGGACACTAACGTGACTTGCAATCGGCCAATCAAATTGTATCTCAATGTTTCGAGTTTTTATTGGTTGAACACAACTCACGTGGTTTACGTTATCTTGAATTCTATTGGCTGTTGCGTGACATTATGCCGAAAAGAAGAAAATAAAAAGAAAAAAATCCATCAAGCTTCTTCATGAATATAATAATAAATAGAGAGAATTAGTCAAGAAAAGATGAAGAAAAAACAAGAATAATAAAAGGGATACTAAAAATAATATATTATCATAAATTTAGTACTTCTGATATACTTGCCGATTCTGCAAAGAGAATTTCTAAAATTACTACTTTTTTTGAAATTGCAAATAGGATTTCAGATATCTTGATGAGTAAATTTATAAGTATATCTTTGATATCTTTAATATCCTTAATATTTTCTATATCTTTTATGTAGTTAATATTTTCAATATCTTCACCATCTCTTATTTATTCAACATCTTTAACATCTTTAATATCTCCTATGTATTTAATATCAACATCTTTATAAGTCTACTATCTTTAACTGGTAAAAATAAAAAGAAAGATCTGCTAAAGAATTATTCAATTTCAAGATAATTTTCTGAAAAATGAACAGATACTTATAACTTTCAAATATAATAAATAGCAGATTATTTATAAGTATTTTTTAAGATTAAATAATAAAAATAATAAGATAAAAGCAAGCAATATATATAATTTATATTTTGACAAAATTATATATCACTAAAAAGATCTATTTTCTGATTAAATTTTATTTATATTATAATTTATTCTCACTTTCTTATTATAATCAATATTAAAATATAACAATTTTGATTAGGTTATCTTCCTTTAGATCTCTTTTAGTTTAGATCTTCATTTTGCGCTATCTGTATAACAGATTAGCTTTGTATTACATTTTAAGAAGATCATTTTCACTCTGGATATACAGATGATTATTATGTATTAAATACTTCTAGATTTAGCACATTATTACTCAAATGATCACTATGTGTATCATATTTATTAATTTAGATTATTAATGTTTTCTTTTAATAATTCTTTATATTTTTACTTATTCTTACTTATTATTATTTATATTTATTTATATTATTATTTATATCATTTATAATTTATTAGATTATGATTAGTAGCTCTCTAGAGACGTGAATTAAGTTAATTAATTCTGTTCAACCATATGTATTTTAAAATAGATATTATTATTAATTTATTCGCTTTTTGTATTTATTTCTTTTACTATAAATAAGATCTCTCTGTTCTATAATTTTCTCTTAGATCTGAATACTTTTAAATAATAAAAATAATCATAAGTTATAAAATTAAAACTTATTCATATCGTATTTTATCTTGTTTACAATCATTAACAAAATAATCTTACATAAAAATATAAATAACTTATTAAGAATAAAGATATTATATTGAATATAAATAATAAATATTATAGAAATTAGAAGTAAATAATATTAATATAATTTTGCTAGTATATATAATCAGAAAAATAATTAGTTTATAAACTATAAAAAGATAATTAAATATTTTAAAATATCAGTTTGAAGAATATTAAAAAGAAATATACTTTAATAATCATGAATAGAAAAATATAATATATAAAAATAAATATTTAGTGATTATAAAAGATTTAGAATAATAATAATAAAATATAAAGAAAAAATAATAAAGTAAATTTTATTAATATTTTAAATAAAATTAATTCTTATTATTTATAATAAATATATTTTATTTGAATAATGAAAATTAAAATCTCTTAATAATTTGAAAAATATTATGAAAAATATAAAAGTCTTTGAAAATTTATATATTTAAATATAATAAAAATATTATACTTTAAGTAAAAAGATATGTAATAATTTTAATTAGGTTATATCTCTTTTAGTTTAGATTTTTATTATACTATCTGTATTATAAATTATTTCTTATATTATAAGATTATTTTATTAATGATTATAAACAAGATAAAATGTGATATGAATAAGTTTTAATTTTATAACTTATAATTATTTTTATTATTAAAAATATTCAGATCTGAGAGAAAATTATAGAATAGAGATCTTATTTATAATGAAAGAAATGAATACAAAAAGCAAATAAATTAATAATAAAATCTATTTTAAAATACATATGGTTAAACAGAATTAATTAACTTAATTTGCATCTCTGAAAGATAATTAATCATAATTCAATAATTAATAATAATTATAAATATAATAAATTGAATATAAATAATAATAAAAGAAGAACAAATTAAATTATAAAGAAAATAATTAATTAAAAATATAAATAATCTAAATTTGTAATTATGATACATATAGTAATTATCTAAGTAATAATATGCTAAATCTAAATGTATTAAATACATAATGATCATTTATGTATCCAAAGTGAAATTGATCTTCTTAAAAATGTAATACAAAGCTAATCTGTTATACAAATAGCAAAAAATAAAGATCTAAACTAAAAGAGATCTAAAGAGAGATAATTCAATCAAAATTGTTACATATATTATATATTTTAAAAATTAATTTTATATTAGATATATAGATAATTATTCATATATTTCATAATTTTAAATTTAGATTAATAATATTTTTAATTAAATTTATTTATAAATTATTTTTTATATTTTTATTCATTCTTATTTATTATATTTATATTATTATTTATTTATAAGATTATTTTATTAATGATTATAAACAAGATAAAATATGATATAAATAGTTTTAATTTTATAACTTATGATTATTTTATTATTTAAAAGTATTCAGATCTAAGAGAAAATTATAGAACAGAGAGATCTTATTTATAATAAAAGAAATAAATATAAAAAGTAAATAAATTAATAATAAAATCTATTTTAAAATATATATAATTTGTAACAATTTTGATTGGGTTATCTTCCTTTAGATCTCTTTTAGTTTAGATCTTCATTTTGCGCTATTTGTATAACAGATTAGCTTTGTATTACATTTTTAAGAAGATCATTTTCACTCTGGATACACAGAT